TTCAACAAGAGAGAAATGAAGGGGTACCACTGTTTTTTCGTTTTGTTGTCGTCCACACAGGAGGAGGCTGCGGCAGTGACGCACGACGAGACAAAGGGTCGCGAGGCGACGTGCGTTTGACACTGGAGTCGGGCAGGTGCACTGGGCCGCCCGCTGGAGTCGCGCGCACTGTCGCGCGCTCGAGGCTAGTCGCGCACTCGGGTGCGAACTGAGGCGCTCTACTGCGTCGTGTCCTGTTGGGCGCGCAGGAGAACGGCTGCGCCTACTGGGGTGCGCATGAGCTACTGAAGGCGCGCAGAGCTGCGTGCAAAGGCCACGAGCTTGGGCTCGCGGCTTGCTGACCTAATGCGCACGGACCGAGACGCGCGGCTTGGGGCCGCGCCTGCTGCTGCCCTGGAGGTCGCGCGCGGCTGCGCGCTGTGCATCTGGCGGCGGCGGATGGCGTTCACTGGCGACGGAAGGGCGGCAGGCTTATGGACGTTCGTCAGATCTGGCGAGGGAGTGGTCGGCAGCCGCGACGGAGGGAAGGTGGCGTGCGAGGACTATGGCGGTCGCGCACTACGGCGGGCAGCGATGGGCGGCGTTAGATGGCGGCGGACGGCAACTAGAAAAGGAGAAGAGAAAAGTGAAACTAAGACTGAGCAAAAGAAATGGAAAAGGAGAGGCTGAATCAACGGACAGTGACAAGACTAGAAAAGACGAAGAAAAGAGAAAGTAGAAAAGTGGGGTTGGATGGGCCCTGGTCAAAAACTCTTTCTTCGACTTCATTATCAGGAGGGTTGAAAGGCGTGGACACGTTTTGGAGGACTTGGTCTTCTGACCATCGCGTCCTAATGCTGCTCAAGAGAGTTTTTGTCAAGGCGTGGGCACGCCTTGGAACTGCCAGTTTTCTGTCCATCACCAAAAAAACAATCAGAATAGAAAAATAGAACTGAAAAATCACAAAATAATGAAAAATGATCACAACTAATACTGTAATCCTTGAGTTGCCTCCCAAGAAGCGCCTTTCTTTAATGTCTTTGGCTAGACATGGTCATCAGTTGTTTAGATCTCACCACTTAGATCATCAAGAAATATAACCTTCACTTGCTCACTATTAAACCCTTCATAATAGGGTTTCAAACGGTGACCATTGACCACGAACTTCTTCTCCGTTTTCAAGATTTGGATTTCCACTGCACCATAATGAAAAATATTAGAGATAACAAATGGCCCAATCCAACGCGAACGCAACTTACCAAGAAAAAGTTTAAGTCTCGAGTGATAAAGTAAGACTTTTTGCCCTACTACAAATGACTTCCTTGAGACTTGTTGGTCATGAAAAATTTTGCTCTTCTCCTTATAAATTGTGGCGTTCTCATAGGCTTCATTCCTTAGCTCCTCCAACTTTTGTAATTACAGCTTTCTATGTCCTCCGGCGTTCATAAGGTCCATGTTACACCGCTTGAGTGCCCAAAATGCTCAGTGTTCAAGTTCCACTGGGAGGTGATACGGCTTCCCAAAGACTAACTTGTATGGGGACATCTTAATCGGGGTCTTATATGCAGTGCGGTAAGCCCAAAGAGTATCTTCTAACTTCAAACTCCAGTTCTTTCTATCAGACCACACCATTTTCTCCAAGATTTACTTGACCTTCCTATTTGACACTTCGACCTGACCATTCGTCTGCGAATGATAGAGGGTGGATACTTTGTGGAGCACGCCATACTTACGAAACAACGCAGTGATTGTCTTATTACAGAAATGGGTGCCCCTGTCATTCACTATAGCTCTCGGCATTCCAAAACGAACAAAAATATTAGATTTAATAAAATCTGCAACCACTCTTGAATCATTAGTCCGGGTGGCTTCGCCTCCACCTATTTGGAAACATAATCGACAGCAAAGAGAATATATAAGAAATCAAAAGACGAGGGAAAGGGACCCATGAAATCTATGGCCCAAATATCGAAAATCTCAACAAACAATATGGGGGTTTGATTCATTTAGTCTCTACGGGAAATATTCCCCACCCTTTGACACTTATCACAAGATTTGCAGAACAAATATGCATCCGTAAAAAGAGTCGGTCAATAAAAACCGATATCTAACACCTTACGAGCTGTTCGTTTTGGCCCAAAGTGCCCCCCACATGCAAATGAATGATAAAAAGTCAAAATAGAATGGAACTCACCGACACCTATACACTTTCTTATCACTTGATCCGAGCACTGTTTCCACAGGTAAGGGTCATCCAGATATAATGTTTGGCGTCACTTCTCAATTTATCTCTCCTCGCCTTCGGCCAACCTGAAGGCAATTGATTCGTTACCAAAAAATTTATAATGTCGGCATACCATGGGTACGGACGACTCAATGGTTAGCAATTGCTCCTCTGGAAATGACTCTCTCAATGGCAGATCCTCCTTATTCGTGAGCAACCGGCTCAGATGATCAGCTACCAAGTTCTCGACTCCGTTCTTGTCCTTGATCTCTAAGTCGAACTCCTGCAGGAGTAAAATCCACCTGATCAGCCTCGATTTTGCATCTTTCTTCGCCAACAGGTACCTCAAGGCTGCATGGTTAGAGAAAACAATTACTTTTACATCCAATAAATATGACCTAAATTTTTCTAGTGCAAAAACAACAGTGAGTAATTCTTTCTCCGTCGTGGAGTAGTTAAGTTGGGCTCCACTCAATGCTCTCGATGCGTAGTAGATCGCGTGCGCCATCTTGCCTATTCTCTGTCTCAATACGGCTCCTACTGCATAATCGCTCGCGTCACACATTATTTCAAACGGCAAGCTCCAATCCGGGGATTGAATAACGGGCGGTGACGTTAACGACTCCTTTAACTTATCGAATGCTACCTTGCATTTACTAGTGAAGTTAAATGGCACGTCCTTTTGTAGCAACTTGAACAGGGGGCTCCAATTTTCGAGAAATTTTTGATGAACCTCCTGTAAAAACCTGCATGGCCAAAAAAGGAACGTACTTCTCGTACACACACGGGGTAAGGTAGAGCAGAAATAAGGTCTATCTTAGTTTTATCTACCTCTATTCCCTTAACCGACACAATGTGCTCTAAGACAATACCATGCTCGACCATAAAGTGACACATCTCCAGTTAAGAATCAAATTCGTTTCTATGCATCTTTTCAAAATTAAAGCTAGATTATCAAGACATTCATCAAAACTATCCCCGTATACGCTAAAATCATCCATGAACATCTCGATTATCTTTCTACGTATTCTGAGAAAATACTTATCATGCACCTTTGAAAAGTTGTTGGGGTATTGCAAAGACCAAAAGGCATCCTATGGTAAGCAAACGTACCAAATGGGCAGGTGAACGTGGTTTTTTCCTGATCCTCTGGTACTATCGCAATCTGAAAATATCTTAAAAAATCATCCAAAAATCAATAGTAAACACGACTAGCCAATCTTTCTATCATTTGGTCAATAAAAGGGAGAGGATAATGGTCCTTCTTCGTCACAGAATTTAGCCTTCGGTAGTCAATGCACTGATGCCAGTCAGTAGCTTTCCTAACCAGGACCATGTCACCCTCTTGGTTTTCATCTACAGTCACCCCCGCTTTTTTCGGGATTACTTGGACATAACTCACCCAAGAACTGTCCGAGATAGCGAGATGATCCCCACCTCCAGGAGTTTGAGTATTTCTTTTTTCACAACCTCCATCATTAATAGGTTCAACCTCCGTTGTGTCTGCTTCACCAGTTTTGCATCATTCTCGAATCTTATTCAGTGCATGCACACCGAAGGGCTTATCCCTTTGATATCCGTTATGCTCCACCAGATTGCCTCTTTATGATCTCTAAGGAGTTGCACTAGTCTCTCCTCTTGACTTGGAGACAGGTGAGCAGAAATGATTACCAGTAATGCTTCTCGGTCTCCCAGAAACGCGTACTTCAAATGATTCGAGAGAGGTTTAAGGTCTAACTCTGGTGCCTGCACCACCGATGGCAGTAGTCTTGTATGAGTTTCTGGCACAAAAAAGGGAGGCGAGCTCATACCTTGGATGAATGGTTAGAAGTGAATGTAAAGCTTCAATTGCTCGATGCAACTCATCCCTCATGTCCACATCAGGGGTCACTCCCAACTCGAGATGCTTTGCCAGGGCCACTTCCTGTGCGTCTTTACTATCCAACTCGAAAGTTTCCTGTACAAGAGGCTCAATAATACTCAAAGCAAAGACTGAGTTAGAACCCTCTCGATATTTCATCGCTTCAAAAATATTAAAATGCACCCTTTCACCATCAAATTCCATTGATAAAGTACTTTCATTCACATCAATCTTAATCCTGGTAGTGCTAAGAAACGGCATACCTAACAAGATATGCGACGGATTTAACGACTTTTCATCTCCTATGTCCAGAATATAAAAATCTACGGGAAAGACTAATTCATTTATCTGAACCAAGACATTCTCAACTAGCCCCTCAGGGTAGGCATTAATGCAGTCAGTTAGTTGGATTATGATGGCCGTTTCTTTTAAGGGTCCTACATTTAGAGACATATAAATAGTTTTTGGCATCACATTAATTGACGCCCCTAAATCCAACATGGCCTTCCTGATCGGTGTATTTCCTATTTTACAAGAGATCGTGAACATACTTGGATCCCCACATTTGGGTGGGAGCTTTCGTTAGAGTATGGCTGATATGTTTTCTCCTACCGCTACTCTTTCATCCCCTCTCAACTTTCTCTTATGGGTGCACAAGTTCTTGAAAAATTTCGTGTACTTCGGTACTTGCTTAATCGCTTCCAACAATGGGATGTTGATCTTCACCTTTTTGAATACGTCCAGGATCTCTTTCTCCTTTTCCGCCTTCTTCGTCCTTTCTAACCTGCATGGAAAAAGGGGTAAATTTGATTTAATGGACACAGATGGAGTAAGAGTTACCTCAGGGTTGCCACAGATGCGCCCTTCCTCTTCCATCTCCCTTTCGATCTCATTTTCATTCTTACTTTTCAAGTTCATGACCTTAAACCCCTCCACCTATTTGCCACTCCTTAATGCCCTGGCACTTACATTTCTGGGGTTTGCCTCAAGCTGTGAAGGCAATTTTCCATAGACGTGGGACTCCAGGCGATTAATGGCAGTTGCCATTTGATTCATTCGAGTCTCCATGTCTTTCATGCATGCTTTGGTGTTCTGCTGGAATTGAGTGGTGGTCGTGGCCAAACTCTTGACAATTTCCTCCAAAGAACTTCCTGAATTGGGGGGCGAGGGTTGAAACTTTTGTTGCCACGGTTGTTGGAATCCTGGTAGACGATTAGAAAATGAAGTCTGTGGCTTATTACCATAACTAAAATTGGGGTGGTCTCGCCAACCTGGATTGTATGTGTTGGAGTATGGATCATACTGTCTACGAGGCGCGGGCACGCCTCCAGCCATGTTCACTTGTTCAGCCCCATCCTTTTGCAGCATAGGGCATGAGTCAGTGGGGTGGCCTACATTTGTGCAGATTCCATAGGCCTTAACTTGGTGCACGTTCCCCACGGCTAATTGCCGCACGAAAGACGTTAACTTAGATAACTGCTGCTGAATGGACTGCTGAATGGACGACGCCTCTACCTCATTAACCCTACGGGTAGGGTTTCTCTCCCGGAAATCAAATTGTTGAGAATTTTTCGCCATAGATTCAATGAGTATCCATGCTTCTCGTGGTGTCTTGTTCGCCAGGACTCCCCCACTCGCAGCATCAATAATACTCTTGTCGGACGACTGGAGTCCCTCATAAAAATATTGGATCAATAGTTGTTCACTAATTTGATGCTGTGGGCATCTAGTGCACAACTTATTGAACCTTTCCCAGTAATCATATAGAGATTCTCCAAGATACTGATTAATGCTGCATATCTCTTTTCTTAGACTTGCAGCCCGGGATGCAGGGAAGAATGTTTCCAAAAATTTCTTCTTAAGTTGGGCCCATGTTGTAATACTACCTGCAGGTAGATAGTATAACCAATCCTTTGCTGCATCTTTAAGGAAAAAAGGAAAGGCCCTGAGTTTGATCTGCTCCTCAGTAATTCCAAGAGGCTTCATACTGGAGCATACCACATCGAACTCTTGGATGTGTTTATGGGGTTCCTCACCTGAGAGGCCATGAAACGTGGGTAATAGGTGAATTAGCCCTGACTTCAATTCGAATGAGGTATTTTCAGCCAATGTTGGAAATGTGATGCACAAAGGCTGCTGGGGCAATTCTGGAGCAGTCAACTCCCTTAGTGTTCTTGCATTCGCCATAGGGATGTCCTCTTGGCCTTGGTCACTTGAACTATCACCACTTGAATCTGTTGATTCGATCTTTGGATCTAATTCCTGAGAAGCAATGCTAGATTGCTCCTCCCTGAGTTGTCTAGTTTCTTTCCTAGTTCGGCGCGCAGTTTTCTCGACCTCCGGATTGAAAATTAATTCATCTGTACGAGAAGACCGATGTATAAACTAAAAAAGTGCCAGACAAATTCGACGAAAATGACTTAGAAAGAAACAAAATTAACCAAAACACCGTTCCCCGACAACGGCGTAAAAAATTGACAGGTGTCAAACCTGTGCAATAATAATTACTAAAAAATCCTAATTGGCACCACAATTAATTATAGAACAAATTCAAGTACTGGAGCAGGGACCCTAGGTGTGCAATGGGTTACTTGATTCACCCTGTTCCTGAAAAGTTTGCTTGATCCGATATACGAGATTTGTTTATAAAAATATTAATTTTGAGTACAATGACAAGTATGGTCGATTCCACAGGGAACGGGTAGGAAGTTGTTTCTTTCCAAATCAATAGAATAAAATTGGGGGATGATTAATGGGATGGAAATGAAAATAAAATAATAAAATTCAAAAGATAACTCCACAAATACAATTTACTAAAAATAATAATTAAATGATCATCGATGCAAAGATATTTCATTCGTTCGTTACTAGGTTGGTTATAGTTATCAACAAGCTCTGACAGCTAGTTCTTCCTTACCTTTTCGACAGTTAAGATACGACCGTTGACTGCTTCTCTAACTAGAAAATAACCCTAGGTGCGCCCGTAGGAATTTAATTATCCAGTTGCATTAAAACTAGAAGAACCCAACCCTAACCAATAAACACGCTAAAAGGGTTTGTTTAAATTAGATCTTACATTCCCCCAACACAAAGTCAATTATGGTGGTTGTCACTAGCTATCAACTAAACGAACAATTACGGATTCAATTTAGTTAATGTGACAGTAGACTATTAAATTAAATCAAATACCCGGCCGTTGATATTTAATTAATAAAATAACCATGAACAATTAATTCAGAGAACGCAAGAATAGCAACAAATTGGACGAAATAGTAAAAATTCGATTAGATCTCACAGATATTATGGACCGCGCCCTTGCGTCGACCTTTGGGTAGAGGAGAAAACTAGCCACTCCTCATCGTATCAACTTCGCGTGATTTGATTAATTCCATCCGATTAATTACCAAGAATTCAGGAGAGACGGAATAACGAAGAAAACCAAAAGGGGGGGAAAGTCTCGCTTCACTTTGTTTTGTCCAAAACAAAAGGTAAAAGCGCAGGTCCCAGGTCCCACAAAGGGCACACGAAACAAAGGAAACAGAAGCGAAAAATCCCCAGTCGTCTTCCAGAGAAAGCAAACGAAAGCTACACCCCCCCAATTCTCTAAGGCTAGTGCGGAAAGTCAAAAAGAAAAAAGAAAAGAAGAGGACGTCTGACAGATCGAAAAAAAAAAACTAAAAACTAATGTCATTTTCTCCTCGTGAATCTCGGTTTTTTCCCTTCTTTATAGCGCCGCCAGTAGGAATCACATTAGGAGCAAGGCTTTTGTCCAAGGGTTTCGATCCCACGCATCTGGTCCACGTGGACCTGGCTTCCTAGTTGGCTTTTATGCTACCAAGCCTGCGGATCCTGCTTTTGGATGAGTCTCCTCATTTTTTTGGCGTGGGCACGCCCTGAAATAAAGGGATTTTGGAAATTCGCCTCACGAGATCACTTTTAGCACCAACCTTCTACAATTCAAACAAATATCAAATATGAGTAAAATTCCAATTTTTAGCACCATGAGTGACCAAAATTAGGACAAAGTAATGGTGTAAAACATGCCTAAAAATCGCTCTATCAAAAAAGGATAGTCATGATTGTTCTGTTGGCATCAGGATCTGTCATATTAGCCTTGGTGATTTCAATTTTTTTGATACGGTTAAAGTTGAGAAAGAAAACTCCAGCTCCGACTCAGAACTTGCTTCACATGGCAACATTTGAAAGGGCACCCTTCCATGAACTTAGACAAATAACAAATGGATTCAGCAAGAGTAACTTGCTTGGCTCGGGGAGCTTTGGTTCAGTTTACAAGGGAATTCGCGAAAATGGGATGGTTTGGGCCATAAAGGTATTCGATTTGCAGCTAGAAGGTGCATTTAAAAGCTTTGATCGAGAATATGAAGTCTTAAGCTGCCTTCGTCATCGAAATTTAGCTAGAGTAATTATTGCTTGCTCTAGCCTTGACCTCAAGGCTTTGGTGCTCAAATACATGTCCAATGGAAGCCTTGAGAAATGGCTTCATTCAAACCCTCATTTCTTAAACATCAAGCAACGATTGGATGTTATGATAGATGTGGCTTGTGGTTTGGAATATCTCCATTATGGTTATTCAACTCCTATGGTTGGGCATGTTTGTGATTTTGGAATTGCAAAGTTGTTGGGAGATTGAGAATCTGTGGTACAAACAAAGACTCTTGGTACATTTGGATATATTGTCCCAGGTGACTTTTTTTTATTACAATTTCGAATTCTTTATGTCATTCAAATTAATGTTTCAACTTTTAACAACTAGTACAGTATGTGAAATTTAAAAAATTTGAAATTGGTGAACTGGTACTGGTACTTGACTTTAACAACTAGTTTCAAATTTTTTGATGCTAGAGTATGGTTTGGAAGGATTGATTTCAACAAGTAGTGATGTTTACAGCTTTGGGATTATATTGATGGAGACATTTACAAAAAGAAAGCCTAAGGATGAGATGTTCACATAAGAATTAAACCTCAGGCGTTGGATACAAGAATGCTCACCAGATTCTGTGATTCAGGTTATAGATGCAGACTTGCTTCAGCTTGAAGATAAAACGGTACAAAGGAAGATTGAATGCATATCGTCTATCTTGCAACTTAGTTTCAGTTGCACGACAGATGCTCCTGAGGAGAGAATAAACTTGAAAGAAGTTCTAGGAGCATTGCAGAAGATCAAACTTCAGTTTATCAAAGGTATCACGCCTTGAAGTAGATCGTAATACCATTATATATGAGATAATCCATTAGCAACTTTTTCTACAATTGCATAGTATATCAAAATCTCATTCCAAGGCTTACCATTCATTCAAGTAGTATTCATGTTTTTCTACTGAATATATGGCGGAGCCCTGGAGTGCAAATTTATATGGGGGAATTCTTTGTCTTGCTTAAAGTTCAAGACAGGAATGAGATATGTTGTATTGCCAAAAATTTGTTTACAGGCATGGAGACCTTAAGTTTATGATCCCAATTTATATGTTGACTTGGTGTTTATGCTTGTCATACATATATGGCAATTAAGCTGTTAATTTACATTTAGTTATTCATACATCTTTGCCCTTTTCAATTTTTGCATATAAATGAGAAATAAATTGATCATCAATATATATCATCATATAGAGGAACACATAGGCATATGTGTTTATACATACAGAACATGAATGTGGCATGTAGATTCATGCATTTAGTTAATTACAAATTACATTTTAAAGGTGCGAAGAACAAAGTTAGCAAATTAGTTTTCTGTGCTACAATTACTACTTAATTTATAGAAATTAATAGCACTTATTCAGGGCAAAATCGAAGGTTATATTTGTAATTGTGGTTGACAATAGTTGGAGAATGTTAAAATTAATATTGTACCATTGCCTCAAGCTAGAAAATGGTGGGAACATTTGTTAAATAGCTAAATTTTGAGAAACTACGCTTAATGGAGTTCTTCACTGGATTGTTGGTGATTCAGGGAGCAACTCATTTTATACCTTCTCTTAACAGTAGATAGATATTTTTTATAAAAATTTCAGCATGTTCCACCTCCTTGGATCGAGTTTCGGATCGGGCTAGATTTTATAACTATTACCTTGACATTGCTCGTTACGTCAATTACTCTACAAAACACTCAACAGCGAAAGCTAAAGCAAATACATAAAAAGCTAGTATAAGGAAATTTGAACCATAATTAATAAATCCGACCTGAAACTCGACTCGGAGAAATGACCGAGTCACCGGGTTGATGGTTCAATTGTGGGTTGCAGATTAATTATATTATATAATATAATAATATATCCTAAATTATAAAAATAATAAAAATTTTAAGTTAGTGGTTCAATTGGCGGTTCAACCATTGATTTTTTTCCAATTCACCGGTTAAATTGCCAGGTCATTAACTAGTCAATGGATTTTTTGTTGAAACAATCTAATTAGTGACCTGATCCGATACTATGATGGACTCACTAGGTTGATTGGTTCAACTGCTGGGTCGGGCTAGATTTTATAATTATGACCTTGACATTGCTTGTTACGTCAATTACCCTGCAAAACACTCAACAGCTAAAGTTGAAGCAAATACATAAAAAGTTAGTCTAAGGAAATCTCGACGGCCAATCAGGGACCCGAGAAGGTTGAATTTGAGAATGTAACTAAAAATAGGACAGGATGATAAATGAGGATTTGTAATTTTTGGGAAGTAATTAGGTGTGTTTTTAATACTTGGGAGAAGGATACTGTAATAATTTACAATCAAATGGTAAATTCTAACCATCTGAAATTTGAGAGTATAGAAGTAATTAATTTAATTTGAGAGTATAGACGTAAACCATCTGAAATACTTGTGTATTTTGCTAATGGTGAATTTAGCCAACACCGCACAACTTTTTACCCCTCTATTTTTCTAGTTCATTGTTATTAGTGACTTAAAAACCTACCAACGAGATTGTATTAAACCCATCAAGGTGGATCATTTATAAACCATAAGCAAATATATTTTCTAATACGCACACCTAGTAGATTTGAGACTGGGACCCCATGGTTCTTTGTCAAGGTAGCATCCTCAAGGTTGAATAGGTCTTGGTAGGGTAGTGATTGTAATGTTATGTGATTATCACCAATAGACTAGGAAGTATCCGCTAAAGTCAGAGTGACAAGACAAGCAATTTAGAATTCTCCATAAACACTATTAC